CACACACACACACACACACACACACACACACACACACACACACACACACACACACTACACAGCCATTTTGAATTATGCTTAAATGGGATTTCGGACCCCTTTTGGGTTCATGTCAAGGGAACCCCCCCCCCGTTGGGTTCCCACTGCTTTCGTGCTCCCAGGTCCGACAAACCGCTTGGCTCCAAGCACCAGGTCCGAGCGCAGAAGCTGGGCATCAGCACCACTGGCCACCAGCAGCTCCAGCACCTGAGGGCTGGGCGGTCCGTTTTCAGAGCAAAAGGTGACGAACTTGTGGGGTTAAATTGGGAAACCCCACCACCAAAACCAAGTAATAAGCTTAGGTGATATCCCGACAGCACATGCATCCCAAGAACTCGTGGAAAACTCGCGGAAGCCTCCTCGGAAACGCCCCCGTGCATCCCCAAAACGCTGAGACCTCGCAGAACCTTCGCGGAACCCTGTGGAACCTTTCCTCAGAGCAGCCCCGGATCACTCTGCAGCCTATCTGGGCTGAGACCCCATCGCTTTCAGCCCGAAAGAGAAAATAGGGACCGGATGGCTACTGGATGGCTGAGAATCACCAAGTTGGGTGTCGTTTTTGGAACCGGTCCGTCGAAGCCAAATGGAGAAGGTAAGGTCCAATCCACTCACCGAATCAAGTGAGGTTTGTGCAGGAACTCAACGGTAAACCTCCAGGAAACCACAAGGCATAGTTCATACGGGGCGATGCCCACATGGAACCAGTAAGGAAAGCTTCGCGAAAAAATGGGTGTGGCTCCTTTTTTGTCAGTACCCCCATGGAAACCAAAAGGAAAACCAAAAGGGTACCAAAAGCGACACCGAGAGTTACCCCTTCTTTTGGCGTTGGTATCCTTGATGGGCTGTGTAAAGGGAACCAAAAGGAACCCCGAAATCCATGTTGTTCACCTGAAAAACACATCCATTTGGGCGAACCCGATTGACGAAGACCAACTTTCTTTGGATGGCTTGAATCAGATTTCTTTGAAGCTTTGCAAAAACTTGTTCTCACCGACCTGGCCTCGTTGTCTTAATGATCAAAGTAAGTCTTCGGTTAAAGGGAAACAACCCGGATTTCTGACTTTGATACCCCTAGAAACCGTCAAAATTGTGACTCCAGGCGAATCAAGTGGCGAAAAGGCCCCGAAGAAACCACAAGAGGTTTGATTTCCACATGCAAGGAGAGGTTCGGAACTTGGGTGTTTCTTCAAATTGGGGGGTTGGTTTTCGATGCCAATTTTGGGGAGCCCAAACCAAGTTGTTGAGGCGGCCAAATGTTGAAACCACAAGAAGCATAGTTCATACGGGAGCGATGCCCACATAGGAACCATGTCAAGGAAAGCATGTTCGCGAAAAAATGGGTGTGGCTCCTTTTTTGGAGTCAGTTGGAACACCAGGAAACCAAAAGCTGGAAGTAACCAAATTGCGGTGGCAAAAGCGTCACTACCATGTAGCCACGATTGCTTAACAATCTTCTGGTTTCTCTTTAAAGGGAACCAGGGGTGTGCTTGAAAATACATTTGTACCTGACCCCAGTTGGACGGGCATTGTGTTCGCCAGAAAGCAGCAGCAATGCAAGCAGTTTGCATGGCATTGTGGCTGTATGACTAACAACCAACCACTCATGATGAAACTGAATGTGAAGCATGCGAGACTAGTCATGGTGAGTTCACGAATGGTGTAGCTGGTATAGCCTTGTTTTGGGTGCAAATGATGCGGGCTAATGATTGCATCGAGCAATCCCTCACGCTGCGAAGTTGTTCGCCGATGCAAACAAGTCGCTGCAACTGTAAAGTTGGAGCAAACCAATCACAGGTCTCGCCTGCTAATCATGGACTTCGAGAAAGAATGTTCAAAGCTACCATTGGCAAGAAACCTGTACAACTTCCTGACTGCAAGCCAATTGCAGAATAGGCACCTGGGCATGGGGACCCTTTGGTGCACCTGGAGATTCATGTCTGCCAAGCACTTTCGGCCGGGTTCTCCATTGAAAGCTATGGCCACACAACAACGCAACCAGGCCCCCCGAATCTAAGCAGTGTCCTTCCAATTGGGTGCTCTTTCCCACTACAAGAAGGTTCAAACCCCCAAGCCAATCCAAAACCAAGGGCTATCTGAGGCCTTGCCGCGGCCTTGCCTAAGATCCCAAACTTTCGGAAGAGGAAGTCCAGCGGAACGACGTCGGAACCTGCCAAAGTGAGGATCTGATGATGTCGGATTATGGCAGAATCGGGCGACCACCCCCCCCAAAAAAAAAACGCGACCTAGATCCATTCAAACACCTTACCAGGGAAGATACCCAAAGGATTAGACGATGACTTCATGGCAGTCTCACACAAAAAGAAAACTCCACTCTGATCGCTAGGTTGCCTGCAGCTAGCGAAAACATCCATGGTTGTGAACCAAAGCTCCAAATGCCAGTTTGGGATTCCACGTAGTTTGGTCAACTCAAGTATTCAAGTCGAGTTGCCATTTGCTACCTGAGCCAAAATGTTGCTTGCGTCACTAGGTTAAAGCATGGTGCCAAGCTGGTGGCTTTAGCCCGTCCAAAATTTATCAAAAGCATGATGCGAAAGCCCGTCTGTCATTTGGGGGGGGTGCCTTTTTGTAGGGGACCCCCTGTTGCTTTAATTTCCTTTTAACCAACCCAAAACTCCCAAAAAAAAAAAGACACCCATTTGTCTGTCATTGAATCATCCAGCATTCTATCCCAGCATGACCACATACCCGCCAGCGTAACCACATACCCGAGTGGACTGCAACACTTCACCATGCCACTGCTGAGCTTTGCGCGAAACTCATCAATCTGCTCCTCAGTGAGGTTGTGTTCCTGCACAGGAAATATCGGTCAAATTCAGGGCTATAACCCTTGCATATCAATCTGTGCATATCAAAAGAGGCCAAGCAGCAACATCTGCAAGCTGCGATGGTGCAAACAAGGCAGGAAATCTACGAATGAAGCGCAGCTTCTATCGTCTTCACAATTGCCCAGGTAGCCAGCCTTGCACCTTTGCATGAACACTGTAAGCTCCAGGTCTCCTGATTAAAGAGGAAAGATTTGCAACAGTCAAGGACTTGGTGAATCCAAGTAATCCAGCTTGGACACCGTGTCAGCTGAAAAGTTAATCTGGTCGTTGAAGCCTGATAAAATCGAACCGTTGATCATGGATGTGATTAAAGCCGCCCCGCAAAGCTCGGTCTTCAAGTCAGGATCCCAGGCACTCCTCACATAACTCCCGCTCCATGCGCCGCCTTTGTCGTGTGATGTGTGCCTCGCCGAGTCGAGCACTGAGACCAGCGTATCGATAGAGGCCAGAATTCAGTCTTTATGAAGCCCCCCCTTTCCCAACATAGACCCCTTGGAAGTTTGGGCTCCCCAAAGCCTAGCCCTTCCTTTTGTTGGCTGAAACCACCCCGACGCCGTGAAAATCGGCGGTGCTAAAAAAGCCGCGCGCCTGGACCTGGAAAAAGCACTGCTCGAAGAGCTCAAAGTCGGAGACCTTCGGCCTCGCATTCGAGCCGACTGGTATCTTGGTTGGGGTCCCTTTTTGGGTCTGATTTTGATTTTGAGGGTACCCCTTGCTGGATGGCCTTTTTAATTGCGAGACCAAAAGGAAAAAGACACCCTTTTTGGATTTGGCGGGAAATCAAAAGCACCAGTCCCTAACCCTGCATCTTCCATTCAGGTCTGTGGTTTCCTCTCGTGTTTTGTGGCTCTCTATTTTTGATACATGGCCATGGGTCAAAATCCCGTACCCCCAGTGAACATCCCAATCCCCACTAAAACAGACTAAAATGGGTGGTGCACCTACCTCAAAATGTACCATTGGTTTTGACCCAAAACACGTCAAGCTGACTTGAGCTCCCCATTTGACAGGCTGCCCATGTGGGGAGCGGCCGGCTCCGCTGTTGGGTCTCCGCGCTGTGGGGTCTGCGGGCGCTTTGCCAGGGCCTTGGTTCCGATTCGACAAGCTGGACCGTCTTGGAAGTATCTGAGAGCAAAGGGTCGGTCGGTGGGTGTGTGGGTGTGTGTGTATACTCCATGGGCTTGCCCTAAAAGCCATAGTTGATCCTTCGCCAGTTGGAGTTCCTTTCTCACCCACTGAAAGGGAACCCTTCGCCTCAAACAAGAAACCACCAAAAATGGAAGGTGTTGCAACCAGCCAGGAGCCTGGCCTTGTCGTCGAAAAGCAGCTTGGATAAGCCTTTTTCCAGGTTCCTCTTCGGCTTTGGCTTCCTTGGCTCGGTGCCAGTGAACTAATTCGTTATTCGCTTTTTGGTCGACAAAGCTACCCGGTATACGTCGATCCTTTGGTACAAGCGGTCGAGTCCGCAAAGGCCGAAATGGAAAATGCGTCCTGCAACCCATCGGCCAAAGCGCAAAAACAAACCACACTGCAGCAATTGCATCAGGTTCGGGTTCATGTGTGTGCTTTTTGCAAAGAACGATCTGACTCCGCATCTCTGTGGATGGACCAAATCCACTTCGCACCAGTTGGTCGGTCTTTTAGCCAAGTATTCAACTCGGTTTGTGGATTTTGTTGCCATCCACTGAAAGCAATGAACTGCATCGCCGATGCGACCCCTGAGCCCTGCTGCATTTCTTGGCAAATCGGAAGGAAGATCTTCTCCACCTGAACGGACTGCCATGATCCACATCTGGCCCACTGCTCCAAACGGAATCCTCAGCTGGCAATGGTGCCCTCAGTTTGACCATGGCATTGCCTGAGCATTTCTTTCAAGCTCTTTCCGACTTGCAGCGCTTGCCGACCAAATGCTCCTGGGCACCCATGTTGCAGTTCCCCTGCTTCTGAAGCAAACCCACTTGGGTGTGTTTACTTGAGGGTACCAATTTGTTGGCTTGGTTTGAAAGTGGATGGACGAATTCCTGCACCACTTTGAAACAAACGATTGTTTGTTGGTAGTTGCAGCGGAATTATCATTCCAGGGTTTCTTTGTGTGGTGCAGGATGTCGTCCATCGACAGCAGGCAAGCCCCCAAATGGATTTTGTGTGTTAGACATACTCAGTTTCAGCCAAGCCCGGACCAGCGCAATGGCCTCCGGCCACTCCTCGTCGTGGATCCTCAGCCCCAATGCCTGCCGAGCGGAACTCATGGCGTCCGTTGAGGGACCCCCCGTGTTAGTCGGACTCTCGGATCCAACAAAGTCCCAAGCTCGTGGTTTTGCCACTAAAGTGGGCAGAAAGTGAGAAAACTAACCATTTTTGAAGGAATTCAAAAGCAAGCCAAAAGGAATTCAAAAGTAGTGATTGAAGGGAAACCAAAAGGAAGCCGTTGCCACTGTTGCTCCTCAAAATCGAGACTGACCCATAGCTGAAATCGCCAGCGGAACGTGGGGTCAAAAAATCAGGGCAACTGCCAAGTCCAACGGCGGAGACCCATTGACTATTGGTAATGTGCTTTCAAAGGCTTCTTTGTGGCCCAAAAACCAAAAAAACATAAAGTGGGCAGTGTGCTACCGACTTAAATGGCCGTTTGCTTAGCGGACAGACGTCAATCAAACCCTTCCGAGAAATAATATTGCCAACTTGACATGCAGCGCACAATGGCATGGAGCAGGATGGGAAGCACACCAAACGATTGGCCATAGGCTAAGCTGATAATTGATCATTTGTCTAGCCAGTTGCAGAAGATCGCATCCTCACTTTGCCACGTGTTCTCAGTCGACCGAACAAATACAAGTATTTGATTCGGTCGTGATACCTTGCAGAAATGGGCGCAATCCAATTCAGTTGCGTCAAGTGAGACGGACAAAATGCGATCCAGCTCTGAAAAATATTCCAAGAAACGATTGCTTCAAACAAAACAACAAGTATGTGTGATTCTGTGTCCTGGTCAAAGCTCCGAATCTGGCCATGGTCATTCACTTCAGGGGAACCTCAATGATCAAGGTCGTCTAAATGTTTTACTCCCTCCCGTCCACGTTGCTATGGAACCTGACGATTCGGGGTCGACAACTGATACGTTCCTGGACAGGGAGGGCCGGAGGAGGGATCCATCTGGGCTTCGCTGTAACTCTCTTCGACCCATCCGATCCGCCTCTAGGCAGGGCCGAAGCTTCTGCACGTCGTAGCAACTGTTCCTCGGGACGGGAAGAACTAGCTGTGTTCAGCAAGCGGAGGGAAAGGGTACCTATGGCACAAACCCATCTCAGCGACCGTGGGGCATTTCAGGGATCAACTCACAGGGGACTTGCAAGTCTTTGTGTCAAGATCAACCGGCAACAGCCGGCCGGCACCGCAACCTTTTTCGGCGTCGGCGACAAGCTTGCGCGCTCTTTGGCTGCGCTGCGCCTGCGGCCAGAGGCGCACAAAGTGGACAAGATATGCGAATTCCGTATGGGACGTGGGAAGCTAGAGAGTCTTCCCCCTGAGAATTTGGAGATTCTCCTAGTTGTTGTGAAAACTTCAGGGTCAACTGGATTCTGCGAAAAATTTAGTCCCCCGCATCACCAAAATGGACCTTTGACTGGACAAAGGATTCCTCTTTCCTCCACTAGACCTGACGAGGAAAATCAGTCAACCATCAAGGCTTGTCACAAAAAAAGCTGAAAGCCGAGGGGAGACAGACTAGAAAGCATGGTTGCGAAGACGAGCACCGGGCCTCTGCCTGAGGCTATACTGCCACAAGAGGGTTTGGCCAAACCCTTGCTAACGTTTTGACCACCCTGTTTAAAACAACCTCCTGTTGGCTCCCTTATCGTTGGGTTCCCTTATTTGGGGTCCTGGGTCCGATTCCTCAAACACACTTTGCCCAACTAGCCTCTTCACTCTGCTCTATCACCTCTTTTCCTTTCTCTGCACCAGCATTTCCCTCCCAGCGATTTGTGAATTTGCCGGCGAAAGCAGATTCGACGTGCGATTGTTTAGCAATGACTTCTGGGCAATATGCATTTGCAAACCGCAGCCATCGCATCAAAGCTGTTATCTTCGCTTTGCTACGACCCTGTATGACCAAGCTGCTCGTTCGCAAACATTTACGCTGAACAATCACATGCAGTCCACAAGCTACTATCCGTAACGCCAGGCAAGCGTTCACTGGGGTATGTGTCAAGAAGGGGGCACAAAATGCAAGTTCTCTTTTGGTCTTCCTTTTGAACTCATTCCTCAAAGGGATACAAAGGGTATCCTTGAACACGCACGCACCAGTACACACAGAAACACAAACACACTCTGCTTTTGACAAGATCCGCAGCTCAAATGGGACGCCCTCGACTCTGAGAGCCTGCCTGTCACAGGTGGATACCTTCCCGCAGCCCCACGAAACCTGGGCAGCGCACACGGGGGTCTTTCTCGGCGCTCGGCTTGAGTTGAAACCCTCGGGAGGGCTAAAGGAGCCGAAGTGAAACCCAGCAGTTTGAGGTTCCCCCCATGACCCACAGACACCCTTGGTTGGAAGCGTGCGGCAACTTCTCCCGAATGGCCTCACGCAAAAAAGCGCTGTGGCAGACACATGCACCGGTGAGCTGTGCCCGAGCAGCCTTAGAGTCCAAAATTGAGAATCAAACTCTGCCCTCTGCTCAGTGTCATGTTTTTGTGTTGGCAAGATTGACACGACGGCGCTCTGTGATGGGAATGGGTCAGGATGCATTGCTAAGGCTGTTGATGCTGGGGATGCTGGAAATGCAACAGTGCTGGTTTCACAATCGGCTGCAAAGTAAGCAGCAAACCTTAGCGCTCACAGCAAGAACTCCACACAAGTGACTTTGAAGAAGCATATGGCTTGGATTCATGAATTCATGTGTGCTGCTGGCTGTTGGCTGAAATTTTCGCCTGACGAGTGGATCTGGTCAATTGGAATTTCCCGGGCCATACAAACTCCACTGGTTCAAGCCCAGGTGCTGACACCCGGCGTGGGCGCCGGCGGCGTGGGCGAAAGAAACGTTTTCGGCTCGGCCTGCAAAGCTGCGAATCAGGCGGCCGGGGAAGCCTGGGAAGTTAGAGCCACTCCCGAAAAAGCAACCGCCTTGGGCTTGATTGGGATGAGATGAAATTCTGTGGCTGTGGGTCAAACATAGGTGGAACCCTGGTAAATGGAACAAGGACTAAAAACAGCGTTCCCCGGTGGGGGAGTGCGAGGCAAACAAGTCGGTCAATGCGTGGATTCGCTCCGTCCGTTTCCAGAATTCGAGAAACCAGCCCCTTGCTGCTCGAAACACTGCCAACCTTGCATAGATCCTTCCCAAGAGCTTGCAGGACAGCCCCCTAAACACCCAGTTAAAATTGCAATGAAACATGCTCTCTGCTCCCAAGTTTCTGGCCCGAAAGCCTCTCTCTCTTGACGCCAAGCACTTTTCGTCGCGCCCGTCCCGACTTCCGGACTGGGTTCACCCAAGCCAAGCTGGCACAGCACTCGCTCGTCGCTCACCTAAGAACCAGCGATCGCACGGCTGGATAGCCCTAGTTTGGTCGTGGGCCCAATGGCTTGTCAGTTGCCCGCACATTTGATCCAGGTTCACCCACGCCCAGCTTGGCCTCAAAGAAAAGGTGCGAGGCTAAAGTAGAACAAATGGATCTGCCAAATTTGCCACAGCCAGGAAGCTTGATATGCATCCGTGATTTTCCTGAGCATCCTTCACAACTGATAATGCTTGCTTGCATATACTTGTACCTGCTTACAGCAGTCGGAGTAGAGGGCAGCACAAATTTTGAAACCATGTCGAGGAATCCTGAATCCCCCATGTTTGGAAGCACTGCGGGAAATTGCAGGAGCAAAAAGCTGCGGCGCTCCTCAAAATATGTCTACATATTGTGCAATATGAAGCCTTGACCTCATGCATGCTCGTCGTGTGTTTGCGTACAGTGCCTTTGCAAAGCATGACAGCATGAGAACCAACCACACATAGCGCTAGGGTGCTGCAAACAATCAGACCTGAAAATACACTCAAATGATGTATATAGATGCCCAGCTACTCCGAACAGTGCAAGCACTAGAAGCGGCCAGTAGACCACATTCACCCATTCATCCGTGCTGTTCTGTAGATCCAACTCATGCTTTAAAGCACACCACTGTCTTGCTGAAGGGTTGATGTGAAATGCCACCACAATGTTTTCCACACTGCATCATACGTGAATGGCAAAGCGTCGTTTCAGCTCCATGACCGTCCCCCTCGCCAAAATCAACCCACTTCCTGAGTGGATTGGCCGCAAACAGTCTAAACTTTTTGTTAGTGTGGTTTCGAGATTTGGAGGCTAGCAAGTGACTTTCCCTCTTCAACTAATTGTTTGCGACAAAGGTGCAAACGCCCCAAAAAGTGCCAACAGTCCGAAACGGAACTCAGGGAGCGAGTCAAACGCCGAGCCGCATACTTCTGCCGCTCTCCGTCGCGGCTCGCAAAGGTGGCAGTCACTGGCAAGGCGCCGCGCTGAAAAGTCGCCACCTAAGACATTGGCAGGCTCACTCGCCCGAGGAGTGTGTGTCCTTTTTGTCCACCGAATTGAGGCAGAGACTACAAGGGGAACCAAATGGAAACCCAGTTTGGGGGTCCAAAGTGAGACAAGCAAGCTAACGAGCTAGTGGCGTTTGACAGCTTGAGCACTGGAACTCAGGTCCCTTTGAGGCATCGCAGTGGTGTCGCTAAGTTATCCGCTTTGACTTATGCCAAACCGTGCGTGACCGGACCAGACCGTAGCAAGGTCATGTGAAGAGATCACCAGGCCCCAAGCTGTTGGGCGAATGTGCAAGACTCCAACAAGCAGAAACAGAATTAGAAACCGACTTCTGGCAGAGCCCTCGAGTTTTTCCAGATTCAGCTAGAGAAAGTCTTTGAAGAGATCGGCAAACAGCTTGAAACTCTGTGATCCTTTGAGAGTAGAGGCAAGGCTGCCCCATCCTGAAACCGTCAGAAAACCTGAAAAGTCCCCGTTGGTGCACAGCTGCCTTCTTGTTATTGTTAGTAATCAAGCCATGCTGTTGGCTTGGTTCAAAAAATTAGCCAGAAACTAGCTGCTGCGTATCCATGCGAAGGCTTTGAACGATTCATGCTGACTCTCTCCGTGCCCTGCCACAATCCTTGCCGGTTTCGCTAGCGCAAACAAGAAATCCAAAGCTTGAGGGCAAACCTGGCTGGCCTCATTGCTTGCTGCAACGATGATCTGCAACCACATGACACAGCAAGCAATTTGAATAAGATGCAACATGCGGCGCAGCAATAAAAGGATGTCCATCAATGACAAAAGAGCCGGTTTCTCCAAGTGTCCATTTCCCGCTATTTGAAAGCCGATATGAACCGCAAAGAACTTCTGGCTTGTTGTTGCCGCCAAGAAGCCAAGCAAGACTCATGTGGCAATGCCGCAAGATGTCGATGATCCAGGATCAGCTCCCACTCACCCTGAGGCGAATGCATCTGAGAAGCGCGCGCAGCCAATTCAAGCACTGCTCGTTGGGTAAGTTTCAAGGCTCAGAAACGTGACCTCAAGGCTCTGTAGCTGAACATCCTTCCCATCTCATCAGAAACTCACTTCTGCAGTGCCTTGGCATCATCCCAAAGTTGTTTCAGGTTCTAATGGATGGGCTCTGCTAAAGCGGCTGCAAACACGGATTCGAAGCCGCAAAATCAGCAATGAAGTCAACCATTGGAAGGCCAAATGCTCATGACTAAACACACAGACTAAACCAATTCAACGAACCCCAAATCACCATCACAGCTTGGGGCGAGGCGCGAAAAATCACAGCGAGTGACCGAGTGACCGAGTGACCGCGCCTCCGTCTCTTCCATGAGCACCGCCTTCTGGGCGAGGCCCAGCTGTGCCATCAGCGGCTCCTTCGACAAGCCCAGCGCAGAACGCAGCACCGCCGCCTGACACGCGCTGCCTGCCCGAGGGGCTGGGCGAGGGGCTGAGGGCGGGGGATGGGCCAACTGCCTGGGCCATTGGTCTGAGAAGGGAGCGAATACACCAAAACAACCCAGAGTCCAACGTCAACTTTTTGTTTTTGGCTCTGGAAAAACAGGTTGCTTCAAACCTGACATCCCTCAAGACAATCATATTGGTGCACGATGCTGCAGCCAGAAAGGCCTACCACCCCCCCTGCCCAAAAAACTAGCGAAAACAAACCAAACACTTGAAGCCTTCACCTTCGGCGAAGAAAAACAAATGCGAAATGCCCCCCAAGTGCAGCTTGAAGGACCTCACCGCATCGCCTTCTCCTCGCCAGGAACCGAGCCATCCCAGAAGAAGGGACCAGAGCAGCGCACCACCGGCAGCGGCTCGAGGAAGCACACCTGACGAGCCGGGATCTTTGACTTTTGCGAGGCCTACACCCCCTTTTTCTGCCCCACTTGACCTTGGGGGCCAAAAAGAACGAACTTGGGAGGGCTTGGGGAGTCCTTGAGGAGATCTTCCAAAATTTGGGAGACCAGGGTGACTTCCTGAGCGATGTTCATGATGAATTCCTTTTCAGGCAGAGAAAAGGGGTAGTGCATCTCAGCGCCTCATTGTTTCACCGCCCAACTGAGAAAAGATCCAGCTCCCCCTCGTACATGATGCCCTTTGTACAAGGGAAAATGTAGTGTCAGGTTAATCCGCGGAGGTAAGGAAATGAGGCCGACTTTTTAGGGGGGTCCTCTAAACTAGTAGGGTCCTGCGGATTGATCCGAAAAAACACTTCCTGGTGCTCAGAAGGGAAGGGGAATGGCCCCCATGAACCACCACTTGTGGTTTCCTCTGAGGGAATCCCTGGGTTCAATCCCTCAGTCCCTACAGAGCACCAGCAAGAAAAGCCTTACGGGGGGGAGGGGGCAAGGTGCCTTGATGGTCCGATGCAAACCTCACCGGTTCGCCTTGCCTGCACCAGGTTGGCACATCGGTAGGGCGAGCCCTGGCTGTCCATCTGGTCCCAGCGGTACGGCACAGTGCCCAATGCGTGGCTCGCCATGAGCTGTGTGTACCTCGAAACTAAACCCTTCGGTGGTCCTTTCGGTTTCCCTTTACAACCACCAGAAAAGGGGGTCCGTTTACAACCACCAGAGAAGGGAGTCCCCCAAAAAAGGGGCGGTGTCCTTGCAGTTTCCCTTCACCCATCAAAAAGGGGACTCACCTTCAGTTTCATGGATTTCCTCGGTCCAAGTGCAACTCGAAGAACAGCTTCGCTTTCCGAGCTGCAGCTCAATGTGGGTGGCTCGCCTTTTTGAGGGTACTTGTTTGGTGGCTTTAAAGGGAAACCAGAAGGAACACTTTTTTGTTGGGGGGCGGGGGGCAAAAAAAGAACACCCATATTGAATATGGCTGACCCTCAAAGAGCCAAAACAGGGCAGGCGAAAACCTGCATCACCCTCGTGGTTCCAAAATAGCATGTTGCAATCATTGGCAACGGTCCAAGCTCCGACAAAACCGCATCTGCCTCTGCTGGGACAGCCCTCGACCAAAGCTGCACCACCAAGAACTGCTTTGCGGTCACCTTGCTTCCATGACACAACTGTGCCAAGCCGGCTTAGCGGCGTCCTGAAACAAATGCAGTGAACCTGAATCAAGTGCCCTGCTTGAGTACAGAGCTCGCACCAACTCAAAGCTGAGATGGATTATGCTAGAAAATGCAAACCGGAAATGGTCAGCCGAACGAACGGATGCTGTTTGAATTGCTGCACACCCCACTGGCCAGACTCAGAGCAGTGCATCTCACCAGCTCGAAAGAGCGGTTGGGGCAAGCCTTCTACCAGTCGCGAAGATTCACGGAATGATTCGCACTGGGGTCAGTGAACCAGCTTGTGGCTATCGTTGCGCCATTCAAGAGCCTCCGCATCCCGAGCCCGACAAATTTACAAAATTCCGGCTGGATCGGGCGCGCACATGGCTTTCCAGTCGCTCCTGGGGTTGCCAAACCTGCGCCAGAGCACAAGGTCACACGACACGGGCTGGAGGCCTAGGCGCTTGTTGACGTGTTTTAGAGGTGACGGTCTCCAAGAAACAAGCAAAAGAACAGCACAACCACTGCCCAAAGGCGCCCCCAAAAACAAGCATAGCTGATACAGGTTGTGCTCAAAGATGTTGAGACAGGTTATCTTTTCTCGGATCACACATTCGCGTGATCGCGAGCACTCGGTGCTTTCATTCACCGCATACAAAAACAAAGCCGCGTCGCACACACACAGAGACACACAGACAGACAGACACAGACAGACAGACAGACAGACAGACAGACAGACAGACAGACAGACAGACAGACAGACAGACAGACAGACAGACAGACAGACAGACAGACAGACAGACAGACAGACAGACAGACAGACAGACAGACAGACAGACAGACAGACAGACAGACAGACAGACAGACAGACAGACAGACAGACAGACAGACAGACAGACAGACAGACAGACAGACAGACAGACAGACAGACAGACAGACAGACAGACAGACAGACAGACAGACAGACAGACAGACAGACAGACAGACAGACAGACAGACAGACAGACAGACAGACAGACAGACAGACAGACAGACAGACAGACAGACAGACAAACAGACAGACACACACACACACACACACACACACACACACACACAGGTGCGTCGGGTCTGCGCCGTGAGAAGCAAACCTGTGCCTGGCCTTCATGTTATGAAACAGAAGGATTCAAGCGCGCGCGCACACGCACACGCACACGCACACGCAGTACACCCACCCACACACACACACACACCGGCAGCAGCAGCAGCAGCAGCAGCAGCAGCAGCAGCAGCAGCAGCAGCAGCAGCAGCAGCAGCAGCAGCAGCAGCAGCAGCAGCAGCACGCTTTGAGGACGTCCCACCATCTTCCGACTCTTTCTAGAAGCATGTCAAATCGGACGACTTTCTAACTGGCCGCACCTCGAACTATGGTCGTTGTACTCGGCTAGCGTGGACTCGCAGCCCAAGACCTGGCAAAGCTGGACTCAGTCTCCTACTTGCTCTTGGAATATGTGCGCTGCCAAGGGGAGAAATCGCGATGAATGCAGGATCCGGATGGAATCAGCACCAGCACCTGCCGTGCAAGGGTGTCCAATTAATGATTGGATCCGATTGCAGCGTTGGGCGTATCTGCATTCCACTTTGGAGGGAATGACCAGGCATGCACCATTCGCAGCACCACGGGATTCAGTAGAAGCATTACTTTCATCTCCCAACAGGTGCTTGGGACTGAACCCGTAGATCTCGCCATGGACCCTAGTCTGAATGGCAGGTGCTTTTCAGCGGCTCCTTTCACTTCTGCTTCCCTGCGTCCGCCTTGTAGACCGACACCTCCGGCAAAACCAGCTCCTGGCTAGGCGAACTCAAAGGCATGAGAGGTAGTTGAAGTCCCAGGCGCTCCCGACTGGTTCTGCACTACCTGCTCCCAAATTTGCAAACACCCCCAATGGCAAACAGGAAGTCATAATACCTGGGAACAAGCTTGCAACGAGTTGCCAGGCGGCGGGGCCGAATCCCGCCTGGATCTCCACGCCCTCCACTCCGCTCGCCATGCGGGCGGGCGGCCGCACGCGCCGTGCGGCAGCTGTAATTTGGAAGTAGCAACGGGCTGACACGAGCCAAACGAAACCAAACCTAAGTGGAATCAAACTTCAACTCCTTGGAATCTGGGAGGACAAAACAAAACAAGCGATCTGGGGATGAGACTTGTGGAGCGCCCTGGTGTTAGCCACTCTGTTGGCTCACTGCTCGAACTGTAAGCGCTGTGGTTTCCAAGTCAACGCCATGTTGTCAAAGCGAACCTTCGGCTTGGTCGTGATGCAACGTGCTTCAGCCTGTGACTGCAGCCATACAGTAGCAGCTTGAAGTCTACTGTACTTTGGGAAGGCACCTGGTTGGCAAGGAAGGACAAGCCAAGTTTCACTACAAATGAATCACGTGCTTGTATACCATTTGCTTGATCCGAAGGACATAACTGAAATATGCAATGCATGCATAAGTTGACGTTCTGTGAGAGTGCTGCAGTCCTGCATTGTTCTCAATTGCGAGGCATCAGCCAAAACCCAATGATCACAACGAGTAAAAACTGCTACGAGCATCTTGATCAGCAAGAATCACGCCCCGAGCCCTCTGGACAAATTGGGCACCGCCTGCTCTGGGAATCATCAATTTCAATTAGTTGTTCAACGGCTGGGTGAACCTGCCTTGGTTCCACCAAATGCGCTCCTTTCGCGTCGAATGCTACACACATTCAGTGTTTTTAGTTGGCATTTGTGCATAATCTGTCTTTTTATACGGTCACGGTATGAGTACATTGTTAGTATTTTGCTCCCGTTTGTCCTTTGGTGCAAACGATCGGAACCCGAAGGAACCCGTGGAGTCCGGCGGGTCCCCCAACCCGCGGCGCCTCCTTTCGGCAGGCTGCCAGCCAGAGGCTGCTGCCGCCGCTCACGGCCAAAGCCCCCGCCAGTACCATCGCCGCCTTCCCTTTGACGGGCCTCAGAGTTGCCAAGACGCGTCTTTCGGCGGCAATCGGAACGGCAACCGAACGTCGGAAAAAGACTTGGAGCCCTTTTATTTTTAAGGCGCAGTTACCTGTTGGGTTCCGAACCCACCAAACCAAATAAGGATTCCAAGCGTGCCACACAGCTGAGTTTCAGGCTACTCAAAAAACACCAAACAACAGGTGGTATCCCTCACGGAGCAAGCTCTGAAGGCACGAGATTGGGAGATACGACAAGTTGGCTCCGAGCAAATGTGGTTTGTATGATACCCAGCCATTGCGGTCAGAAGATCACATGATTGAACTGTGGGGTGTGACTCATCGCACTTACGACAGCTTTTTTCGGACAGAATTAGTTCTTGATTGAGGATTTCGATTCGGGACCCTTTGGCGCACATATTTGACGTGGGAGTTCTGTCCACCAGCTGCCCATGGTATACCCCCCATGTCAATTCATACGGCGAGTTTCCAGGCTTCCCGGCGGCCGCAGGGCCCCAACCGGGGGCAGCCGCAGCGCCCCCAGCGCTCGCCGCAGCTCCAGGCGCGCCCTGGGCCGGCCCTGCCGCAGCAAGCGCCGCAGCGGCGCGGCGTCCGCGGCCGCGAAGGACACCGGGCGCCAAGCCCCGGCCCTGGCCCTGGGCCTCAGCTAAGGCACCTCTAGGCACCTCAAGGAGCTGAGGGCCAAAAACCCAAAGCGGTAGCTTTTTTGATCGCATCCTTTTTCGGCGGTAAGAGAATCCAAACAGAAAGCATGGGGAAAGCCAGCAACTTGAAAGCCCTTTTTCTGGCACGGGCATGCGTCAAACTAGGGGGATCAATGTGAAAATGGCACTAATACCGAAAATTGGCAGAAAGGGCGGCTATGAGGGAATTCATATTTTGTAATATGAAGGTGCTGCTTGTTGGGTTGCATTATTTTCCATGAAGGTTTGTCACAGAAACCTTTGATTGAAGCCTTTCTTCAGAGCGTCCCTCAGCATTTGTTGCTTTGCACTCAGCTCTTCAGGGGGGGGGAGGCGGAACACACACACATTTTCAAATTTGAAATTGACTTCGCCCCCCTCCAGACCCACCATACTCAGCCCAGGACCACTGAAAACCCAATATGTGGGCTAGGATTTGGAACTCCTTTAGTTCATGTTCCCCCTACTTGTCCCTAGCCCCTATTTGCAAAGTTTCAGGATTTGCGTGGACAACTTCAGTTGCTTAGGATTGAATTTAATGGGTCACTACATTTATGAATGGAGCTATGAATCTTAGTAGCTCATACGCTCATCTAGCATTTGCTGCTTGAGCATTTGCACGAATAGCACCATCGTAGCCAGCGATGCAGGATTAGAAGCGGTTGCTAGAGGCAGAGTTAGCCACAATAATCTCTGCAACGAGCACCGACATTGATTTCTGCGTTGCCTTCACCTTTGATTAGCACCTGTGGCAACAAGGAGCTCTAGAACAAGATATTCTATGCATTTTGCTTGTGGGCCCAGTTGCGTGTAGGACTCTCACGGCTTGTCTTGTGACATCACACTCCCTGTGGAAAATGAGTTGGGTAGAGCAGGATAGAATATAATCGTGTACGTTGCTTTGACATACAGCTACATGTGCCATTGGCTTGGCCAATGTGCCATAGGCCAATGCGCAGTCGTTTCCAGCCCCCGTATGGGCTACCAGCAACCCACCAATGGAAAGGTTCCACCCTCAAGGCTCAGGTAGCAGCTTGGTAGCCTATGGTCAGTCCATTTTTCTCACAAGGAAGTGGGGGATCCGGCCGTCATTGCACTAACCCCTTGTGAGCTACAAGCATGCAAGGAGGAAATCCAAAAAAAATGGTTCCAGCAAATGTTTCTGATGATCCAGAACGAGTTTCTGACAGATAGAAATAGTGGCCTATGGTTGGTGGAGTCATTTGAGCTGGGCTGGTGGGGAACTCCCCACCAAGATCTGTCAACCCATCCGGCTAGTCTGTCAACTGGGATGATAGGAGCACTCTCTCCCCAGAAATGTCCAGAAAACTGCTGGCAGTCAAAATTTGGAAAGGCAGGCAAGCGCAATCCATTTGACAAGCCGTGGTTCAAAGCTCAGGCATGACTGACAAGCTTAATTCCTGATTCAGGTCTTGTTGGTCAATGCACCTTTTAACTTTGAATGATGTTGCCTGGAAGAGTTCTTGGAGTCAGCCCGTAGAATTTGCTGTATCCATGTCAAGCATCCTCTGAACCAAAAAAATGCTCCTTCAGTACTAGGTCACACACATGCACACCATCGTTCTCTAGAAGGTCAAAAGCTCGCGGGGAAAAAAGCAGCAAAACAGGGGCCCTCATATAGCCGCCCACACTCAAATTGGGGGATCCCTCAAAAGTGCTTTCCCTTTGGTCGAAGATTTCCCACAAAGTACCGCACACCTGCGGGTTTCAGCTGAGCCGGCCTCTCCAAATGCCGGCGCAGCCGAGCCAGCAAGTTGGCCGCTGAGTCCAGGCTGTGAGCGGCCTGGGAAACGGAATCCTTCGAAGCGAGTGGGCGGGGTTCTCAAAATAGGCCCCCCCCCCCCACCACCCGAAAAAACAAAATGGACCCCCCTTGGTTTGAAGGGGAACCAATGGTGTTACAAATAGGGTGTTGGTGTCCCTTCAAAGCATTCTCAAGAATCGGAGGCCTCAAATTGCTCATGTGTCTCTTGGTTTCTCTAAACGAAACATCAACCCGAATGAACAATGCTGCATGTTTGAGCTTGAAGCTGATCAGATTCAGCCTTCACTGTCCTGTCGATTTATGACTGCAGCGACCTAGGCAGCTGTATACAGCAACACTGACTCATCTACGGCAAGTGTGACGAGTTGCAATACAAGGATGGCTTAGGACATATGGCGGTGGGTCAAAACCCTGTTTTCCTGGTGAACATCAAAATAAGTGGCGAATGGATGTTCATTCACCCCCAAAATGGAGCCATAGGTTATGCCCCATGGCCATATAGTAAACAAACCCCCGGCAAGTGCATCGAAGCCTTCCGCCCCAAGGCCCCGGCCGTGCGGAGCAGCAGCCTCCCGCTGGCCAGGCTGCGGTATCTTTGCCGCAAGCTCTGCGTGAAGACATCCAGCGGCGCCTGAAGGGCCACCATGGCCACGGCTCAAAACCACCCGCCATTGCACCTATCCCAAGATGGTACCATGGGTTTTGAACCATGGCCACATTGGCAGGCGCGGAGAAGAACCTAAGACAAGCGTTGACTGCGGCAACTCGACGGGTCAATCCGAAAGAGATCGTGCTGAATACCGAAAAAGCTCGGGTGGACTGACATGTCGCCTCTTCACGGCCGCTTTGCCGCTGCCACGCGCCATGCACGCGCCAAAGGAATTCGGGCAGCGGCATGCGGTACCATCGCAGTGCCTGGCGGAGAAGTGGATGGTGAGGGAGAAGCTTCGATGCGCTGGGAGCAACGCCTTGTACCCATCGGGGCATCGACTTAGCTTCCACCCATCCGGGGTCTTACCTCAAACTGATGCCTGGACGAGAACATCTCGCCGATGCAAATGGCACAAGAATTGTGAGCAAGTCGTCGCATGCCTTGCGCCAAGACCTGGCCACTTTGCCCAAATTTCCCACACAAAACGCGCACCACTCGTCTCCGGCCTCCCGCTGGCCCTTCTTCACCCACTGGTGCGCACCTGGCAATGTCTCTCCAACGGCCCCGAGCCGGACTTGCAAGCTGCAAGCCGTCGAGGGGTCAAGCAGCTAAGTTCAAACCAAGTGATGTACCGTCCGATTGAAACAGCAACAAGGCGCTGTTGCACAACTGGCTCTGGCGGGCAAGCCGCTCCGGGATACTTGAGCTCCAACTAACACTTTTGCTGACAAGGGTATAGGAGCCAGTCGCCTGAGTGCGTGGAGCTGGAGCTGGCACGCGCTGCGCTTTTTGCTCCTGGCACGTCAAGCTTGGGTCTTTCGGGGAACTTTTCCTCCATTTCGCAGGGCTTGAGACAAGCTGGAACCACGGCCTCGCTCTCTCGCAAGGCTGCACATCCTCAAAATCTCAGATTCCTTGCAGCATCCATGCCATTTTGATGGTCCCTGCTTCGCATCGAAAGGCCAATGGCATCTTAAAGACTCCAGGATGGGAGTCTTCAAATCTCGGGATTGCATCTGTCCGTCGGTCTCACTGTATTGCAGGCCTTTCAGATTTGTGGGAGTCAAAGAAGGGTCTTCAATCTGAATATGTTTGCTCTTCCTGCAAATATGAATCCCAGTTCGAATATGGATGCCCTTTGATGCTTCCAGCTAAAGTGCCAGCGAAAGAATGAAAACAACCTGCATTCCAAAAGGAGAGTACGGCGGCGCTCCTCTCCGATAATGGGAATGTAAGGGAGTTGTCCCCTGATTAAGCGCAGGATGTGCCAAGGATGTGAGCCCTTCATGAGGCCTTCTTAAGGGGAATTAGGCGATAAATTTCCCCTTCCAAGAAGCCACCCTTTGGAGGTCCATAACAGCGGCAAGTAGCAGAGCGCGGCGCCTCTTGAGGACTGACGTTCCTCTCGTTGCTCGCGTTGCTCTTGCTGGCCTGAATGAAAGCAGCATGCTCTTGCATGCAGAGTTCCGTGTCAGCCCTCAACACTAGCTGCGTAGACATACATACTAGCCAAATGCTTCGAGAGTGATCCCCATTCGAGCTGACACGGAGTTCAATTTTCCTTCTTGCTGCTCATCAAATCTTCTCTGTGGACAGGATCACGCAAGTTGGGTTGGCGCCTTGACCATCTTCTGGCACAGGTGACGTACAATCCAGTGGACAAACATTCTCCGCTGTTCGGTGGGTCTGCAAGAAAACGCTCAAGGCACTTGCCTCAGAGTTGCTCTGCATGGTTAAAACCTGTGGTCAATGAAGGCCCGATTGGTTCTATGAATTCTCTTTTGACAAGCCCTGAACCGCAAGATGACACGGACCTTTGGACTGAAAGGGGCACCTGGCTTCCATGAAATCTTGCATGTTCAACCGACTTGGCAACAAGGTCATAGTCATTGTGATAAGTGATAAGGGAACTAATCCCAGTCCCATTTACTCCTCTACAGATTGACATGAAACCAACAACAAAAGGAACCCCCTTTTGTCGCGGCAGCTCCATTTGGGAAATGGAACCCCCCGTGTGTGTTCCATGCTTAATTGTCGCGTATGTGGTTGTAGCTTATAACCTTTTAAGTGGGTTGAACATCGTTTCATCTCAGCTGAGGCCTCGCAGCTCTGCATCGTAGATGCGGCGCCGCTCGGGGTCTCCCAGCACATGGTACGCCTGAAACGGGGTCCAAATGACCAGCTTCCCCAAGAGGACATGGGACAATCTGGCAGGGAAATCGCCCCAACGGGCTTTTGTACGGGATTTGTTTCGGGCTTCCCCCAAAAGTAGGGGGACCCCCCAAAATGATGGTTTTCCCTTTGAAAGCGCACGTACCTATTGCTATTGCTAATTAACCATCGCAGGCACCTCTTTCCTTTTTAGACCCCCCCCCCGGGCCACCCATTTTGAGGCTTCCCCAAAAATGAGACAAACCCACATGCACCGTTTTTGAGAACCCCCCCCAAAAGAAAAGCTCAGGTGATATCCCCAACAGCATGCGGTGCTCTTGTTAGTGCTCGCACCACCCCGCAGCCCTTGCAGAACCTTGTGGGAACCCTCGTTCGTGGAACCCTGGTGGAACCCTGGTGGAACCCTGGTGCAACCCTGGTGGAACCCTCGTGGAACCCTCGTGGAACCCTCGTGGAACCCTCATGAAACCTTACCTCAGGGCCGCCCCGGACCACCCCGGAGCCTATCTGGGCTGAGACCCCAAAGCTTTCAGCTGTTGCCACTTTTGAGAAACCCCCAAGAAAATTGAGAAACCATGAGAAACCACTCAAAAAAACATAAAACCTGGCACCAAAGGTTGGGCGGTTTGGTGGGGGGGGTGGTTCCGGTGCCTCTTGGACCTCCTGGAAGCTTGCAAGGCGCCCGCCCCGGTCCGGGTGCAGCTGCTGCGCCAGGGCCAGGTAGGCCTCCCATGCGTCTGCTTTTTGTTTTATTGATTTTATATATTGTATGATGTGTATGTATCTATATTATGTATCTATATATATATATGTCGTGTTCTCAAAACCATGGTTGGTGTTCAACAAGTTGGGGGTTGGTCTCTCAAAATGGGGCGTTCATGTCCTGCGCTTGTTTGTTGCCTGCCGCCAGACGCTACCTTCGATCAGCTTGACTGCGCTCACTTCGGAACCGATTGTTGGAATGCATCCAGTTTGTGAACAAGGCTCAGCTGGTTCATATGCTTGGAGTTTCGTACGTGCAACAAATACGCTCTGTTTTTGCTCGGCGCAAAGCCGGCCTTCATGGATGGTGCTGTTTGTTCCCCTACACACATGTGTGGCGGTGATTGGACATCGCCATGACTTTCCTATCTTCTGCCTATGCACATGTGAACTTCGCTGGTGTTACTTCACGCGGATGGCTCTTCTCCGCCCTGAATGCCGATTGCGTTTTTGCGCACAGATACAGCTGACGCAGCAACAAATTGACACTTGACTGAGACTTTGGAATCGTGTGGAGTAGGTCAATCAGGGACAAAGTGCCCCGGTTTCTCGCGCTCTGGGACGGACTTGGCTATAAAGGGGACGAAAAAAGGAGGCGTCCCGTTGAACCAACCTGAACATGGTAACTACCCTCAAAACAAGAAACACACACACACACAGACACACACACTGGGAATGCCACGTCGGCAGTCAAACACCAAACGTTCAAACACGTAAACATGAGATGAAATGTTGCAAGTTAGCACTGAACCGTGCAAAGTCAGTGGCCTTAAGGGCGATTGTTAGGGGTGAGCCCTCCAGCTGCCCGCGACTCAGGCAGGTACGTTTCACGAAAAGTATGTGGGGTCTTCGTTGGCAGCCGCCCACATACTCTTCCGGCTGCCCCCTGCCGGCATGCACGAATTGCACGGATTTGACAAATCGGGGTACATACACGAACGTAGCTGAAAGCTTCTTGGTCTGGGGCAACCGCCGCAAACCTCTGTGCGTCAGGCGAATGCGTCCACTGATGTCTGCTGTGAACCGATAGGTCAGTAACGCCGTTCACGACAAACGTAGCTGAAAGCCACCTGGTCTGGGGCAACCGCCGCAAACCCGTTCACTGCTGGCGTGCATGAATTCCACGGATTTTGACAAACCTGGTTCTGCAGGTGGTTTGTACTGCATACAAATACACACACACAGACACAGACACAGACACAGACACAGACACAGACACAGACACAGACACAGACACAGACACAGACACAGACACAGACACGCACGCAACACAACACAACTCAACACAACACAAAACAACACAACACAACACAACACAACACAACACAGATGGACACAACACAACGCAACGCAACGCAACGCAACACAACACAACACACCACACACACACACACACACGTGTCTCCCAGACAACTCGCGCTGTGGTTCGAGAAGCATAGATTGCTGGCAAACGCGCCTTTGACCGTTGTTGAGTAGCACAGGGCAAGAGTGGTTGCTCCATGTTCAGTTGCTTTCAAGCGTTGTTTTTCAACCTGACACCAGAGAAGTAGAATGGCAGACCGGCGCACACTGCCCCACATCAATCCTGCAACACAGGAATGCAATGACGCGAATGATGGCGGATGAATCGACCCGAGTGGGATGCTGGGCTCGCGTAGTTCATGGGTCCATAAATGTGAGAAATCCTCCACATGGAGCTTGTACCCCAGGTGCGCTTTGTTTTGCGGTTCTCTCAGATCTGCCAGCGGGCTTGGAAGTTGATTTGGGGCTGGGATTGATGTCCTCTTGCTTAAAGGAAAGCGGGGGTTGTCTGCTTTAAAGACTCATAATCATGCTATGGATGGTTACAAAATTCGAACAAAACGCACCAGTTGGGATGGAGGAAAACCCAACAATTACTGCGATGAACCACCAAAAACTTGGCGGGTGTTCCTTTTGGCTTGCCTTGAAAGCCACAAAAAAAAAATACCAACTCAAACAAAGACACCCCCTTACTGTGGCTGCACCAGTGACTTGGTGGTTTGTTCCATTTTTTATCGGGGTTCATCTATCCTAAGTGCAGGAGTACGTGGGACCCACGGTACGCATATTGGTTGACAAACCGCCTCAGAACCATCCGAATCGCCTTCCGAATCTCCGCAGAGGAGGCTGTGCTGGGCAGCTTCAGCGCCGCGTAGTGCGCCATCGACCAGAAATGGGCAGGCGAGCCTTTCCTTTTTGGACGTGAAAGGTGCCCTTGTCATGTTGAAAAAAAAAAAAACGTCTTTCTTAATTTTTCTTTAACCTTCTTCAATGGAGGACAACTCACCACTGTGAGCCCTATTCCTACGGGCCACTGGCATTCGGGGCGGAGCTGGTGCTAAACGCGCAGCTATACGGGATTTGTGCCATCTATTTTTGTTCGGTGGAGAAACTCTGTAATCCTGCGGTGTGAGTGATGCCCTGCGTATCTCAATGGGTAACGAGCTCGAGCAATGTGCTTCAACTTCCGGCTGATGCCCCCGGACGAAGAAATAGGCTTCGCATAAACAAATAAATAAATAAATAAATAAATAAATAAATACATACATAAATAAATGTGTATATATATGTGCATACATATGCACATTCAATATACCCGTTACCATGGAAAGACCCATGGCACGTGTGTTCACAAACTAGACACACCCAGCCAACATGGCACTCACTTCTGCACGCTTCAAATCCATCCAGCTCGGGCGCCGGCTCGTCCAAGGAGCGGTTGAACCAGTACTCCAAGTCCTCGCATGGCAGAGTTCTCAGCCACCTGGGTGTTTCTTTCTTTAGGGACCCTCCAAAATGGTTTTCCGTTTGGTTTCCCTTTAACACCACCAAAAAGGGGTACCAACCCACAAAAGGACAGACTCACCTAAAGAACCAAATCATCTCGCCAATGGTGCTGCAGGCGGCTGAGCTGCAAGGAGTCCCTCCCAAACCAAGTCAGGCCCACCCAATGGGCCAATGCCCTGTTTGCAGGTTGACACTCTCTGTTCGCCCTGCGCACAATTGACGCACTGCACACCGCAACCCAAGCCTGACGCTTCGCCAGTGCGATGGCCTGCGGGGAAGCAAATTGGTGGCCAACATGGCATGCATTGCATGCTGCGTTGGGCGCCGTGATTTACAAAATGCACAGGTCAAACACAGCAGGAAAAGGACCAGTGTGCTAAGCTAGAAGCACCGGGGTTGGCATTGTGTTCTTTGCTGCAGTCGTCCAGGTCGGCGACTTCGTTGTCCCCCCACCGGCCTTCAACACATCCTTAATCTAGGGGTACCTTCCCCATTCTTTCCGGGGATCCTTCTTTTCAGGAAACCATCAAAACACACGGGAAACAGCCGGTTTTTGAAAAGAACGATGGTTGAAAAGAATGGGGAATCAACCCCTAGAATTAACCAAGCAAAGAAGAGCGCAAGCTCTCATTTGACCAAAAATGTTCCAGGGGCCCTGCTTGCAGGCAAGGCTTCTTGCAAAATGTTCAGGCCACCCTCCAATCAAAAAGAAACGA